ATTTCGCTGCTAGATGGCGCCAACTTTTTACCATACGTTTACATACAAATTAATTTATTAATTTATGCTATATAGTGATGAATTTTAACGAGAACGCTCTTGAAGCATATTTAACAAGTTCCTGTAATTGGATTCTTCGATTTTTAACGTTTTTTGGGGGGTTTAAACAACTGGCGCCATCTGGTAGCGAAATGATGGAACTATTTCACGACAAGTTTGAGCGTTCCGTTAGTAGATGGCGCCATCAAACAGTCACTATCCTTGTCGAACATATTTCGTTCTCTCTCGCACTCACACACTGGTTACCAGTCAACTAAAAATCATTTATTATTACTTAATAACAATGAAAATCGTATGGCAAATGGTCCTTGAATGTTGCTAGTGGTCTATACTTGACAACACAATTGCAAAAGTGCATGAATTATCCTTAGAAAATCAAAAAATTATTAATAATGTCCATTAGCATTCGGTGGAGTGTCGCTATCCTTGTCTTTCATGTACCTTTCTCTCTGTTCCCATCACCCTCACTTTATCCTTGTCTTTCATGTTCCTTTCTTCCTCTTTCACACACTCGCTCTATCCTTTTCTTAGATATTCCTTTCTCTTTCTTACACACGTACTCGAGCTTCGGGTGTTTGGCCGCTAGATGGCGAGTCGGTCGATTGTCACGAATGATAGCTATATGTCATACGTCGATTCCAAGCGTATATTCAAATTTTTGTCATTTTCGAATGGCGGTATCTCTGCGAAAAATGATCGCAAAAAATATTTAAAAAACGCATTTTAAAGCTCGAAGTTTCTAGTTTTTGAATCAAGGACTCATTTTTTTTTTCGTCGTTGATTATAATACTATTTTATCAAGATTAAGCGCAAGAAACAAAGTTTCAGAAATGTTTGTCTAGTTTGACCGTATGCATGGGCTAAAAAAAATTGTTTCACATAAATCCAATGGAAGGCTCTTATAGAGCAAACATTCCTCTTTAATTTCGTATGTTTGATTTCGTTGTATGATTTTTATTGACCGAGTTATTCGCTATCCAAGCAAAAGAGGAACTTTTTACTTTGAACGTCTACAACTTGCGAACGATAATTTTTGGTCAAACTGCATAGTACGTATGTCTAAAAGAATCATGAAAAGTATGCGTTACGGTATACAGTTTGCGATAAGTAAGCATTACAGTTACACGTATACAGTTTACGAAAGAAAAATAAACTAGCCTCGTCGCATAACATGTTAACAAATGTAGCAATTTATATTGATACTATAATTAGATGTACACTTACACTTAATCCAATTAATCTTCTATCAAAAGTTATGAAAAGTTATGAAATTCTATAGAAAATATTAAAAATCGAAGATGGCTGTTTAAAGTTTAATAGCTATCACAATAATAACGGACGATGGAAGTCGTAACATTCTTTGCATAGCATCGCCATTCATTTCACGTGCAAATGTATAAGAACCTACGTTCTCGGTTATTTTTAGGTCCTTTCTGTTCTCTAGGGTTACATAATCTCTTTTCCAAGGTATGATCTCAACCTTTACCTAAACACGCACAACATTCGTAATCCTAACACGTGTGGACGTAGACAGTGTATCATCGAGTAAGATGTCTATAATCCGGTGTTCGTCATCGACCGGAAACGAATACTTCTGTAACTGTGAATCGTGACGACTCGATGAACGTATTCAATATTCGTTCAATCGTTGTGCATCGAAAGGAGATCGGAAACATGATCGTATCGTAAAGATTCGAACAGGTTTATTCGTCCTCGTCGAGGACGTCGATGACAGCCGATCCTGTTATGTCTAACAACTGCTTCGAGGTGAAAGTGGCGATGATCTTCTGTGGTCCAGACTTCTGCGGGACCAGCTGGTGCTCCACATAGACGTCTTCTTCTGGATCAACATCCCTATAAACACGAACAGCATTGTTATAGTAAGATCTATACAGGGTATACCCGTTAAGTTATGCCACCATTTTTTAGGTATTTCCTTCAGTGCGATTAAAAAATGTTTCGATCATTACCTGAACATTAGTGTTTTGTTCTTTAAGAGTCCAGGTCCGGCATAATTGAACACGCACTCTGTCAATCTCCTCTTCAAAGGATTCTTGAAACTGAGACTGATCGTCGAAGGCTTTCCTACAATTAGTTCATCGTCGATCTGGAAAATGTACTTACTTAAGCCACAGAATAATAAGTTGATTCTTTGCTTTCTAATATCAGAAATTTCTGTGCCGTTGTTTTAAAAGAAAATTAATAATAGCTAATCAGGAACATTTAACTGAAATTCATGCTTCTTCCTGTATTAAAGGGTTTATGATGACAGAACAACAATACGTTTAGAAACATTACTCAAGACAAGTTTTCAATCATTTTGGAAGGATGCCACTTGTAAGGAGTTATTATACTCTCATGCGTAACTTGCAATGATCCATCGTCAATTTTAACTCAGTCTGACAGTTTCTACATGTTTAGGCTAAAGAACTGGCTACAATCCAAGAAGGAAGTATTCAAAGCCATAAGTTTATACAAACTTATTCCATTTACTTCAGCTTAAAACGATCAGTTTACCTTAACCTTGATGCTTGGTTTTAAGACCTGGAAGTCATCCTCGTCGGCCCATGTCTGCCTAGTTTCCTTGACCGTGGCGATGCAGTACAGTTTCATAATGCAATACTCCACCAGCTTGTCTAAATAATCGTCCACTGTGACTGTCAGCCTCAACTGTTCGGCTGGAATGAGTTAAGTCGTAATGATCATAAGTTTCGTCACAAATCATTACAATTTCCTTTGCAAAGATATCGAATAGTGCTTCATTTCTGAATTATTAACAGTAAACGAAGTAAAGTTCAGAATCGTCTTAGCTACTCCCTACTTCCGGTTCTTACACTAATTCCGGCACATTCTGTATATCCTCTAACGTTAATCATAGAAGCAATATAAAATTATCTAGAAACACTCGAAACTTCGTGTAAATCCTTGCCGATCATTGTCAGATTCTTTAATTCACTTTGATTTAAATTCTAGACTACTCAAGAGACTTACTGGCGTTTGGTTGAAGGACAAAGTCGCCAGCCGCTCTTTTCACCAGATTAGCCTTGACTCCGTTATAGTAGACGCTACCAGCCGATAGGATGGCTTGGATGGTTCGTGGTTGGTTCGATTTGTTCTTAATGTGCACTGTCACTGCGAACGGTTGGCCGATGTTCACGCGTTCGAGGTCTTCGAGATCGAATTCGACGTCCTCTTTTCCCGGTGATGGTAGAGAGTAGAACCTTTTCGCCACCTCGGTGCTACGCACGGCTCTGTACAGCGTTAATCGTTCAACTTCGCTTCCTGCGTGCAAAATTAATAATATAGCGAGCCATTAATAACGGGAATACGTTGACAGAAATTAATTGCATGACATTATGCAATCAAAGTTTTTATCAAAAGTTTTTGGAGTTTGTCCAAAGTGTGTTTGTCTAGAGTGAAGTCTTATTAAAAACAGCTTCGAAATGAATTCCTAGAGAGATCTGTGAACCGTGCGAGTACCGTTGCCTTCTTAAAAAAGTTCTGTTAGTACTTATTTACCTTCCTTCGCCTTGTACAGCGACGTTATGTCTTCCCTGTCTCTGTCGCCATTGGGATCGAAGATCCAAGGTGCTTTCGTCAGGATCATGCGACCAATGCTGTTCACAGAAATAATTCTTTGAATTGTCTTCGAATGAAGGAAACTATTATCAGTTAAGAGGATGACAGTAAATTAAGAGACGCCAGTCGTAAAATTATGCAATTTTAAATGGTGATTACTTTATGTTTTGCATAAATATTTTGTCGTCATCTCTGCCAAGATTATGTAATGTGGTGTTTTTCACGGTTCTATCAAGATTACGATAAAGGATGCAGCAATGAATATGGAACGAGTCGCAGACTCAAGAAAAATAATAGTTTGAGCATGGTGTTTATCTTGCATTTAATAGTTTTTACGATCACAGTAACGTTTTCCATGTAATAACGTGTAAATGCACTTTATGCAGCTATCATATACACATATGTGCTTCTTACATGTGTAAATAAATGTATCACGTTTCAAACGTTTAGGTATACTCGGCTGCAAAAAGTACATTGGCTGCATAAAAAGTCACGAGGATTGTCTCGAAACACAAAGAGTACCTTATTAATTACAAAACTTACTGGTATTTATTACAGTCAATCTTCGAGTAACCCAGCTCACTCTCCGGGTCTTCTTTCCATCTCATAATGTCAGCGTTCACGGATGCCACCATGAACGTCACGTCATAGTTGTAGCCAACAGCACCCTGTCTGACAGCTTCCACCGAAGCTGGCCCGCATTGATAAAATCCCTCCGATGGTTCTTGGGGGGTCGAGTCGATCGCCTGCCAGCCACCGTAACCCTTTGGCAAGTCTGGCCTGGCCATCCAAACGTCGTTCCAAACGTGATAATTCCAAATGGAATCCTCGCCTTCGAGGTTGTTAGGATCGTACTCGAGCTCCTCGTTGTCTTTGTCGTAATAACGATCGACCGACAAGGAGGCGTTCGCGTCGTGGGCCGACACTAAATTCGAAACCACCCTGGATGGTATCCCAAGGGCTCGACACACGGTGGTCACGGCGCCGGCGAACACCCAGCATTGACCATACTTGACCGATTCGCCAGTTTCCAAAAATTGCTCCAGAATCGGGACGCTTCCGGTCCACGCTGCGGGCGCAGTGCCATCGCCATATTCTCCGTCCCAGCGACCCGTGATCACGCCTTTGTCGTCGTTCGAATTTATCTGAAAGACGAATTTCGCGGCTAGTTTCTCTTCCCATCCTTTCTATTTTAGATTAAATGTTCATCTGGTTGATGTGGATAATAAGAATGAACTGACGATTCTTGAAATAGCTCGGCACATCTTGACAGGGTCTCCTCTGGAAACAGCCTTAATGCCAGATCTTTCCAGTAACAATTGACAAGCTGGAAGCACGCAGGCATCGAATTGACCGAACACCCACTCCCTGCCACGAGAACTTCCCCATGGACCGACCCACACTTTACCAACATCGTTCAAAACGTACTCATCCAAAAGCTGTTCATCCTCCATGAACACGAGGTCCTCTGGAAACGTAAGATTCCCAAATATAACAAATAAAAAGGATATAAGAAGAATATTCGTTGACGTTAAAAATAGTCCATTTCCAATAGAATTTTTATATTCAATTTCAGTCGAATTTAATTTCAGGATTTTCTACTTACTATTAGGTCGTCCTAAAAATTCGTGACCTATATACTTCTATTTCTCAAATTAATATGTTAAACATACTCTTAAGTGTCACAAGAAACGATAATCTGTCTCATTTCACAATAGTCTCTCACCTCTCTCACATAGTCATTATACCGTTGCTAGAAAATTTCTGTGGTTTTTTATTAAATTTCGACGCAGTCTTCGACACGAACTTATGGGACGACCTAATATATCAAGAATAGGTACTCGTTAACTAATTAATGAGTACATAAATTGCCAATAAATAACATCTGTTTCAAGGAATACAATAAGATTTATCCAGCAGAAGATCAAATTGTAAAACTAATCTTGAACTTGCAAATAGTAAATGAAACGTGATCTCTTCTCATCCAAAAACTCACCTTTCAGCCACGGATTGAAGAGCAGATAAATATCTTTCTCGTAGTTGTAGGTATTTGGGGGCTTCTTTCTGCCAAGGGTGGTGGTCTCTACGTTCAGTTGCCACAGACCTATGGGGCTGTCAACGGGACTTCTGACCTCCACAGACAGATCCATGCCGCTGACGCTGACCATGCGTACACCCCATGCCTCCAGATCAGTCAGGTAACTGTCCCTGTTCGTAACAGTGTTGATCCCTCTGGTGCCCTTTAGAACGTTAGGGTTAGGGCCAAAACTGAACAGCAATCGCACTATGTCCGTTTCGTCCACATATTCACGGTTGAATCTTAGGGCGACGTTGAAAGCCTGACCTCTTCGGAGGACAGGTGTCGGAGGATCCAAGTGCACGAGCTCGTAATTGATAGTTCGATGGGCGGTTGCATTCTCTTTCTCGTAGAGGTGCACAGCCTCGACGACTAGTGGCTCTTCCGATGACATTTTCACGATTACCTGGACCTGATTACGTGGACCTATTTCAACGTACATTCGATTGTTATTCATCTTCCTTACATCTTAGAATATCGAAGACATTTATGTTATGTTTTTAAGTGTTTATGAATTGTTAGGACACATGTTTGTCGTTATACTATTTTCATTTATGTCTTTATTAACATCAATGAACTCATATCTTCCTTCTTTTTTGTACATTTATTCTTACATTTAATTTTATCTATAATATACCAACGTTTGAAATAGCGACTAACGTTCATCATTTAAAATAACCATTGTTTCAAGTATTGAAATTATTTCGGTTATTCAAAGGAATGTCGCAGCTAATAAAAGATCGAAACGATAATTTCAAATAAAATTTGCCCAGATCTGGCGCGCGAATATCGCCATTAAACGATAATCTAAATTTAGTCGCGTCTCACAACTCAATCAACGTGTTTCGAAATCGAACGCAGTTGAGATTTCCCAGAACATTTTGTAACAGCGATCTTGAGGATGCAATCACCATGGTGGACAAGTTGCACCCAAATACCAGGCGCGTTTTCGATTGCACTGCCATTTGGAATTTACCTTTGATTCATCGAACCATTGCGTAAATATCCGGGATAAATCACAGAAACGTGAGCTGACTCGCAACGAGCGTGTGATGTTCACCCCTGAATGGAATTGATCCGACATCGACGACTCGCGACTATGAATCATCGAATTCTTCGGTGAAATCTCTCGTTCCAAAAATCATTACTCAATTTTACTAGTTGCATCGCTACTTGCTGCAGGATGTAGCGAGTGTATTTTTATTGAAATTTTTATTAGAAGATTGAAATATTTCACTGTTTAGGTGTCCAGCAGAGATGGACAGAGCAATTGAAAGTATGTGAAATATGTATATGGTTTACTATTCTTTAATCCGGGATCATATTGACATTTGCAATAATTCATTTTTTAATGTTCCTGTGCGTTATTTATCATTTATACGTACGATAAACAAGCTCATAATTAGAAGAAAATTTAAAGTAAGTATATATCATGTATAAATAATACTGTAAAATATTTACATTTACGTGAGGATGTATTTGAACATCATTTCAAGGGAACATCTGTCTCAATCAAAATCACCGGTAGTTTCTGAAACCGGTACTTTGAGTGGAATCTCATTTACATGAATTGCGTAAGATCGGCATAACCGAACAGCGGTTTTCTTCTTTTTGTAAACACACAGTTTGTGTGACAAATGCCCACACAAAAACTGGCGTGACGATTTCTCCTCAAGAAACAAATTAATGATCTACTTACTTTTGACAGTCAGTCCTTGATCCTTGCCTTCTGATAGCGATATCTATAAAATATTTTACAGTATGAGAAAGAAGCCTTCCAGAGAATCTTTAAACTGAAGAAAAAACGCTTTAATTACGCTAAAATTTGTATATAAAAATTTCTGGTAACCGTATGAACAATAACCAAACATTTTGTTCGATAAAAATTAATAGGTAATTAGTTTAAACGTTTTGAAATTATTGTTAATCCTTGTTCGATAGAGTGCAGTACTTGTAAAATTGACAGTATGAGGACAATTTGATCATTTCCGACAGTAAACATGAGAAAATGTTAATTTCCTGTTATATAACTGGTAATATACGGGGAAAAAATTTCAAAATTTTCAGAACATTCGTTTAACCAGTTCTTTTGGAACGATTCGACCTTTTCTCTTGTGGTCCTTGTGAGGCGACTGAATAATTACTATGTAAATAGCTGTCGAGAGAGAATATTTATAAACTTAAAATACATAAGAAGCTAAAATTGTAGAGTATATCAATTTCGAACTTACTTAATTTTTGTTTACATGCTTTAGTATTTTTTTGTATAATTTAAGGATGTTGTTAAGCCCCTTGTTTAACAACCATCAATATACATATTTATATCTTAACTTCTTAGCGACCTCGCGAGGATTTAAAATTAAAAGACCTACACGTCGAAATAAATTACTTAAACAAATGTTTTGAAAATTACAAAATTTCTTAGCAGGAAAAGCTCAATTCTGAAATTGATCGCGTGTTAAGAAATAATTCATAATTAAAAGTAGTACTTCGATTGCAGAAACGATCCCTGGCGAAGCAGTGCCGGTTAACAATGAACTTACACTTTCATCGCTGTACTGACATTCACAGAGACTCACCGGCTTTTTATAAGAGTCGCAGCTTCCTTCGAGCTGACCGCAAAGTCCCCACTACAGTAATCGACGTGCGTGAGTCTTTAGTATCTCCGTATAATCGTTTGACCGTATCGACAAATTCAAAAAGCTCATTTAACGATTCTTCTACGCACAAGTCATTAAAATGAATCAATTTATAAGTCCCAAAACTCACATAAAGGAAACAAAGATTGGTACGATGACTTTTATACAAATCATTGTCGCCTGTAATATTCTATGCGGTAAACCGTTTATCAGTATGCTTTAGATTGACCGCATAGTTCAAAATTTTATAACAATTTATTTTATTCGAATATCATAACATATAAAGTTCAAACAAGCTTATTTGTTAGTTTATATATGCATTTAATAAACTTGTCAATATCTAATTTAAGTATTCGTTAACACAGATATGTTAAAGGCAAATGTATTGTGAAAAATAAAAAAAAAATAAAATTATATGAATATAAATAATACTCGTTACCATTTATTAAAAAGAAATATGTGGTAGTATCAATAACATACTAAATTCAATAGCAATTTTCTTTGTTTATGACATAATGAAGAAGCTTCTGGGCCACACTGTGAGTATATTAAACATAAAATAAAAAGTGATTAATTTATGCAATGCGTAAATTAAGTCTTTGATACTATACCTTGCCTCTGTAAACTTTAGCGTGAAGGAAGTATTGTAGGAAACTTATCTTATCGAATTAGCAAGAATCGCTAATTAGCTTGATCCATCACATGTGGATGTTGCGGTTTTCCACGCGATTGATATGGTTACGTTGCAGCGAAAGTTTGCATGTATAGATCGTAAATAAACCAAAAACGTAACTATCCGTTTTTTAATGAAAATGAGACTCGTGTGCATAAATCATAAATAAACAAATAACGAATAAACATAAGGAACATTTATGATCTAACAAATGAGTATAAGGTGCTGTATACAGAAATTCAGTTCATCGAATGATTTCAAATGTTTAATTTGTAAGGCGACAATTCTCTGTATAACTACACGTGCTGTGTTCTGATATTTTGAACATTCAATCTGTGAGTTTCGAATATGTACAAAATTAATTAACAAATATGCGTTCAAAGTTTCAATATTATCTATAAAAAGCGTATATAGTATATACGTATACTAAAAAAGCTGAAGAGAATGCCTCTGGGCAGAATTCAGAATTAGTGATCAGGATTCCTGTACGTCAGCTATCAATCGAATACAATTTTATCCATCACTGCCTTGCAATCATGCGAAGAACTATTGAGATGTGAGTTAAAAAATTCAATACATCCCATTGTTAGGTTTCCAACACATGTTTATTAAGCCTTTTTCATTTCTTCCAACAAATTTCACCAATCCCTTAATGTCTACCAATAGTTTATTTACATCCTGTGCAAGGATACAAATAAAAGGATAGCGTGGTACACGGTGCAGCTGTAATTTTTCATAAATTTATTTGCGCTCCATGTTATCGGACTACACAAATTACGTTTTAAATTATTGGTCTGTCTGTGACTTTCACGTTCTCTTCGTGATCTCTGCCATCCTTTTCCTCCGTTTCTCCGCAGTCTTCTTCGTACGTAAATTATCCAGAGTCCGGCACGCGTTTATAAATGCATTCTACAGATGTCTTTTTCGGTGTAACAAATTTTTGTGGAGTGGACACAATCGTTAACAAAGCTGTACGTTTTCAAACCTGATGGACATAACGAAATTAGACATAAAAAAAATTATTTACAATTAACCGAATCATGTCTCCGACGAATGTACATTCATTGCTCAATCTACGATGGCACGCTTTAGAAGCCTTGCAACCAGTGCTTCGTTTACGTATGATTTGAGCACCGATAAGTATAAAGAGTGTACTATTTATACGGGAACACCTAAGTATCTTCGATACCTATAAATACATGAAACAACTATACAATGTAAACGTAGCGATTGGAACCCAATTTTCCCTAATCATTTTTCTACATTTAAACATCATCGATTTTTCTTGTAATTCAGTATGGGACAGCATTGGAAAAAACGATCTTTGGGGAAAATGTTGCTCTTGTCGCTACATTGCAATTTCGAACAGTGCAATGTTATCCCAAGCAGTTGTCTTATGCATTCGTTAGCACCGGATAATGCCAAGTGTTGTCGTTTAAATAGTTCATCCTGCTTTATCGCTCTATAACTGAAATCGAAAACTGCTTCTAAAAATGTACTAACATTCAACGTAACAAAAACGAAAATAGAACATTAACACAGGTGTATAGTACAATGCTTGCAGCCTAACTTAAACTCTCTTAATACAATTAATAATCTTAATTACCTAGCAGTCGTATGCGTTTTAAATGCTTAACATTAGACTTTACCGGAAAGTACAAACATGTAAAATGTTCTTTGAAATTTACAACGGATTATAGAGGTTTAAATGCCGCCTCGCAACAATTAAATATATTTGCTTTCTCGAAGTTGATTGTTAAGTATAGAAATTTTGGAGAAAAAAAGATAACACCGCGTACAATGGACAAAGTTTCGTTTGACGAACCATTTAATTTAATTTATCGTAATTATATAATGTTACATGTATAATCAAATTATACAAACAAAAAAATCGCGAAGTGAAATTTGAATATCCGGTACTTTTGCAACTGAACAGCTTTTCTTCCGTCTTACAATTAACACACAGGAAAGAATAAATTCAACTTGGTCCATCATACTTGAAACCGCTAGACATCGAGAAATTAACCACGACGATTTAATTGAAGTTGACATCAGATTCCAAAAAGTACAGCTAAAAATTCAATCGTCGTTTCTACGACAGCTCGCATGCGCTCGACAAATACAAATCAAGACATTCTATACATGGATACGTTCTAGGATAAATGGATCATAAGTTGAGCATCCATCTAAAATTTCTAGAAACATTACAATAAGGCAAATAGTATCTGTACGTAAACGGAAAAGGAAAATCATCACGCCCTGTACCGCATAGGTTTGCTTCCGCTTAAATCCTTTCTGTGGGACAATCTATCGAAATTTATGCATTCTATCTAACAACCTATCCTTTTTTCTCTCGTAATTTAGAACAATCGTTTCAGATCAACCGAATAATCGTCGTCGTTGGCAAACGTATTGATTTTTGTTTTCAAACGTTTGCAAAGAGTAAACGCTTACGAATTGCTCATTTAAGCAGTCTGCCGACAAAACGGACAATTTCTCCACCTTAAAACAATAAATCCAATGATTCCAAAATTTGGCACAAACATTGGCGATTGCGTCTGATTTTCCATAACATATGCTTTCTATTGCAGCGCTTCCGCTATGAGATCTAAAATAACAATTGTCTCGTCTAGTTTTGCCTAGGATTCATATCCGCGTTATCTCGTTTAAATCTTTGGGATAATAGCGTTGTTTAATTTTGCGTCGAAAGTTTTCGATTTAAACGGAATATATGAAAAACAAGGTACGATGAAAATATGCAGCGAACAAATTGTGGTATTTATTTCATACGTGAACTTGCGTTTCATTAACATTTCTCGTTTTCGAATGCAGCCGACTTTCCTTTCTATGGCACTTGTCAGGCACAAGTTTCCCTCCGACTCCTAAATTTATCCACGCACCAAAAGGCATATCGATAATAAACTTATAGATCCAATCAACGCACATAAATTACATTAAACATTTTAATGTATGTAAGTGTTCGTATTTCAAATCGGTAAAATACAAAAAAATAAATTACATTCTCCACTAAATCGTCACTCCATAAATATCATCCCTATTCCGTACTTTCCGTAGTTTACAATTTAGAATATGTTCCGTAATCCATTGACGATACAAACTATGACGGTAATAGGTGTCGTTTAACCTCTTGCGCTGGCGAATGTTTCGTGACCACGCTGTATACAACTATACGCTAGCTCGATGGGAACCGTGGAGTACTAAAGTGAATAGAGTACTAAAAATTCTTTCTTTATTATAGACATCTTATAGACAGACATTATACAGATATATATAATAATTCTGTTTATTAATATTTCTTTACAGAATGACATTTAAAAACAATACGAAATATATAATACAACAAAACATTGCTTACACTCTAAAGTAATTTCACTTCGTCTTTTGTTTTTAGCTTCGTTGAGAGCTTTTCTTTAAATTTTGTAGACGAGATATTCCTCGGACAATGTGCCAATTGCTTTGTTCATAAAACAAAATTACGTATTGTTCGCAAGGGGTCCCTTGGGGCGTTGAATAATCAGGAATGCAGACAGCTTGTAACATAGTGTATGTGTCATATCTAGTCGAAACTTCGAAAATAATATTCTTCAGATTTTGCTATATTTTCTTTTTAAGATAATCGACCAGCAACGCGTATAGCACGTCGTTTCCAATTCTGAGACAAAAAAAAAAAAATAACTCTTGTCGCGAGTAGTACATCATTTCAACGCAAGAGGTTACACGATTAATTAACCTTTACCATCGTACAATCACATGTTTAATCGTAAATAAATGATAACGTATCGAAAAGAAAACACAATGTTTAAGTGAATTTCGCTTGATGTACAATACACTTTTCATTATAAATATAGCTAAATAATGTAACAGCACTTCTCTTAGATCCCCACGTGATCTCGTAAAAACGGCCGCGTTTATGTTGCGATAATCATTTGGTCCGATCGAAGCAACCATGTACCAGTCACTCTCTTTCTCTCAAGAAGTTTAACGACGATCCCATAAACGCGACCGTGTTTCAATAAAATGCGTCCTCGATCCTACTATCACAGTCAAGTCTCCCGTTTCTCGTATTCCATATTTTAAGCGCAAATATAACAATGCCTTTTTTTGTTTGTCCGAACGTGTCTTGCGTCACATAGAAGAACGTATGTGCAAACCGTGTCGAGATACATGTTCAAGCAAAATGGAATATTTCGCGAGCACTTTTGCGTCATCTCTACGTTGTCTCCAGTTATCGGAAAATTAAAGAAACAACCTTTCCTTCACGTTCTCCGAACGGATGATGAAAAATTTTCTTTAGGAACACCTGTGTGCGCGGAAAATGCAAACTTTTCTTTGTAAAGGCGCGGTAGTCGATGCTCTTAGATGAAAGAAATGTATTTTATATTCCAAACAATCGCAACACCGCACGAACTCGTGATTCATCATCGCGTATATCCGGAGATGAGTAGAATTTTTATCTAGATAAATCATTCGAATAACCAGTAAAAGAGAAATAAGTTTTAATGCGTTATTTTTGTTCGATAAAACGATACAATCTGAATTATAGTAATTCAGTAACTTTTGGTTCAAAACAGCGAAAAATGTATAATAAAAAAAAATTGACAGTTTGTAGTGATTGTAAAATAAATGTAAAGAAAAACCTTTGTTTAGATTTTTTCGATAAACTAGAATCATTGTTCAAATCTCATTCAATACGGCAAGATCAGTCCAGCAGTGTAACAAGACCTAAACTGAAAATCGAACGCCGATCTGTAGAAGTCTGCGTGGCGTTTACCGCGTTAATCGAATAAATTGCTTTACAGAGTTTGCTATATTATTCGTCGCTATCGAAATGAAAATCTACCTAGCTCCGGATTTATCTTATCTCGTCGCAATAACACAAAGTATTTGTTCAGTAGGACACGAAAGTAACTGTTGTTCGTTCTACACTGCGCGCGGCTTTGCCTCACTTGTATCGATTAAAAAGATAGTGCCCCCACCCCCCCAACTATAGCTCGAATACACAATAATCAACAAGTAATCGCGAAATATGCATTATTCTATGTATATATATAGCTTCTTTTTTATATTATATATATATTTATATTTATATATATACCACTTTGTTCAGTATACCCTTGTCATATGCTGGGGTATGTATATATATATATATATATATATATATGTATATACTTGACTAGTTCAAAAACGAAAATCCCTTCGCTCGCCGTACGCACTCGGATATTTATATTCTTTAGTATTCACAACGAAATTTAACGTCAAATACACCGTGTAATTATTGTTTCGCGCGCGTTTCCCTGCCACTGTCTGTGTACGTGTGCATAACAAATTACAAGTTTATACGTTAATCGTCTGTTTGCTTAGAAAGCATCATCTTATTAAATGTCTGCAAGCGTGACTGAAAGTCGGAATCGAGTTTACGCATGCTCGATCTAAATAAATCTTCCGCAAAGGTTTCCTGCCCGTTTACTTTTTATTATCTCCCATTCTTACTATTTTTTTTCATTTTTGGTTTGTTTGCCATTTTTAACGAACTGCCTATCATCGGAACCTCCGAGTCTAGGTACTAACAATAATAATGCCTATAGAGGACCGTCGAAGCGACACCGTCAATCAGTCGCCATGGATCGCGTTCGCACGCCAAATTACTCGACGCCAACGACGAAGACAACGACGTATTAATACGAGACGCTTCATACGCTAGCGAGGCGACGGGGACTCGTATTATTTGGTTGCATTAAATTATTTAGCCTCGTCGGGGGCTAACTCGGGGCGTCTTCCGGCTCCATCACGCCGCCGGATACGGCTGGGTCTGTTTCACTGCTTTGGCTCATCGTCACCAACTGCTGCGACAATGTCTGCAAACTCTGTCGCACCTAGAACAACGAACTTGAATTAATATTGTGGGAAACGAAGTTTGGTATAGCATATTGGGGTTTATAGGATTTCAGGAAACAATGGTCGGTATTTCTTGGCACTTAACCGACCGGCCGTGTAAAAATACACGTTTGAGAAACGTACGAAAGTGGCCGTGCGTAATTTAAGTGAACACTAATCGCTAATTCGGTCGCGAGATACGATTAAACTTCGCTTCAATTAATTTTCATCTATCAAATTTAAATCTCTTCACCTTTTTAAAAATTCCTCTGCAAAGAGGATAGATGGGACTATATTCTCATTCTTTCTTCAATTTTTTAAATAGTGGACAACCATTAAAAAATCGTCATTATTTAAAACAATTGCAAAAAATTCTTTGACACGTGTTCAAATATCGTTAAATAGTACAATACATTTTTTAATTAAAAAATTATAAAATTTTGATCATAGAGTTCATTAATGGTATGCTGAAAGGTGAAATTTATTACAAATAGAGATTATTTTCCCTTATAACAAGGAAATCTACAAAGTAAATTCATGTTTCGATATTAAAGTAGAGCGAAACGAATTCTATTCAAAATTGTATTATATACTACAAATTATAAGCTTAAGACCATTTTCTTCGGTGTTGTACCAGTGAGTTTATTTCTCCAAGCAAAGAGATCGAACATTTACATATTATTACAAAGCTTACGTGTAGATGAAATTTCCACGAGAAATTGCATTTATAGTTTGCTTAAGAATTGTCTTAAACTTACATTCAGTAGTACGTTTAATTTATCTTGAAAACAAAAATATATAGTACCTTTATTATTTGATCAAGATTTGTGTTAAGATAGTGCAAAAGCCGATCCTGCGTGAAACGTTCCGGCGAAACGAGAGGATGGTTGAGATACGCTGTGTGCAGCTTGTCAATGCGAAACATCATCAGAGCTGCTGACACGTAGAGAGCCGCTAAAAGACCTATTAGAATAGCTATCACTGTGCTAGTTCTCAGTGCGCCCGGAAACAGGGACAACATAACATTGGGTCTACTGGATGTGGCTGGAAGCAATGGTACCGGCAATGGTTCCACTCTAAACAGAAACACGCAAAGAAGAAGGATTAATTCTCATGTACCTAGTACAAAATTAAAGAGGTTTGACTCTTTGATACTGGGTAGGTTGAAAGCTGTTACAACTTGTGCTTATCGTTTTATATATAGTGAATATTTTCTAAGCCACGTCAAAAAGTTGAAATTACTCATAGTTGTACAGTGTAACACTAAACCTGCCACGACTGATCAAATGATTTTATGTATCGATAAATAAAATATAATTTATAATTTACACAATAGACAGTTAATCCGTAATACCTGATAGTAATATTGCAACAATAATACTTTCAATTTTACTCTAAAAATCAGACGTTCGACAGCTAAATTTAGATCGACATGCGATGTGTTAAGACGATGTTGAGACTACCCAAAACTAATTCTATGCTTTTTCTTTATAACTAAATGATAAATGTACTAGGTCTATCGGAAAGTTCTGTCCGTATTTAGAATAAAACAAAATCGTGACACTTGTAACCGAGACGGAGAGAACTTTCCGGTAAACCTAATATTTCAGAAAGGCACAACATTCATTTCTACGTGTAATAAAATGCCCGACGCGAACGGTCTGTTTCTACGGAAGCATCGACTGACGTTATTTATATATAAAGAATATTTATTTACTTTGCTGGCGGTGGCAAACTCGGCCTGGTAATGGATGACGTCGAAATACCGTCAGTTTCGGTGCAGACGGCCGGCGATCTGGAATTAAGATCCGTCCCGCTCTCGGACATGCTGGAGTCGTCCTCCTCGGGATTCACCTCGGAGTCGTCGACCACCAGCGCGTCCGGGACGAGGTGCTTTTGCTCGACCACGAGCGGGAGAATCTTGGGCGACGGCTCCGGCTCCATAGCTGCGTCCCAAACCTGTTTCATCAGCTTGAAGGTCGAATCCCTCGACAGAAGGGAGCAAAAAACGTGCCTGTCCTCCTCGGTAGCGATCGCCACAGCATTCGGAATGATTCGCGCGGTCTTCTCTTTGCTGATCTTCAACACCGAGACCGTAGGTATCAACAGCTTCGTTACGTAGCCGAACACGTTGCTGTAAAAGGCGAAGTAGTTCGGCGTGATGTAGAGGTGGCCTTGCAGAAGGATATCGCCTACCAGCGCACAACTATAGTAGTTCAACACGCGCTCGTCCGCAGCGACCTGGTGATCAGAAAATTATTAAGTTGTAAAATTTCTCTGTGATTCATTTGTAAAAATTCTCTGTAGTTCAGACTTGGCAGGCAGTTGCAAATAACGCATTTAAAACTTTATCTTTCTATCCGACAAATAAATTTAATTAGAAAAATTTTTCATCTTATTCTTTATCTTCGTTATCGAACTGACACTGGTCACTTATCACTTTCTTATAATTTTTCACGAACAACTCCTTCAGTTTCATCACTTTGAATTAAACTCTTCGAGTACTATAGACGCACATCATTATTCTTCTACAAAATATCATTAGTCCGATAATATTTTCTTTAAGTCAATATCACTATAACAAAGCTCGCGTGAACACTGTCACATTGGTATTAACTTACTGTTATACTATTCAAATGTATAAAGAAAATATTATTGAGGTCTACAGACATAACAATCATGATACGATGAATCGATACAACAAGGTGCAACAACGATAGACTTGTTTGTCGTTTTTCCCGCACATGTTATGCACTAGATTTTATGACCAGGAGAGTACTTACATTTTAACATTTCTATTTCGAAACTGAAATATACGGAGAATTTTTCCAACTAATCATTGGACGGCCACGTACGTTCTAACCTGTCCAGGTATTGTGATAGCGTCGCACTGTTGTCCAACACGACTATCTCATGCTACTGCTTATGCGACAACCACACAAGCGTCACGATTCTCATACAAATAGTCTTATCACACAATTGTATAGCTTATCGTAAGATAAACTGTTATGTCTCTGTACCTTATTAGAGGTACTTTGTAGTTTAAATGTGTTCTATTGATTTCGTGTCCTAAAGGATGTATATAAAATATTTATTCTTTGTATTATCTACTAAAACTGACAGAACAACCTGTTTACTTATTTTCTTGTCAGCGGAATCTGACGTTTTATCCATTTATTCTCATTATACAAATTGTTTAATTTATATTCTTTTGTATACGTAGTACACTCGTTATCATTATCATTAACATTTTATCTTCAGTTTGCCTCCTTATTCGAAACAAAGACGTTACAGATTTGCATGTTCTGCTTTTATCTCATTTAAATGTGCCAAGGGTCACCTACGACATCGACGCCAAGTTTATGATCATCCATCGAGATTCAGCCTCGTATCGCCGACAATTTCAGCTCGTTACACTGCTTGGGAATTATAGCTGCATTAGGCAGCTCAACGCCTGCGGAATAGTCTGTGCCCAGAGATATGGGTCAATAATCAAAATGCAAATGGGGTAAAGAAAGACACAGCAGCATATTGTACTGGGAAATTGGAGAGATTGCCGCTGCATGCAATTCGAATTCAGTGATCAATATCTTTATAAACGATCGTTTTATCGTAGGAATTCAATGCTTGATCATTATTGGTCATTTCGTATTTCTTAAATTCATCGTAAAATAAGTTGGTTAATAGTTAACTGATTTGCATTATTAGAGTATTGTATATGCGCGCATAAACCTAACCATCATCACCTGAGTGTATATATGTACATTGCTATCATAAAACAGGAAAATTTGTTTTCCGTGGCGTTTCAAAGGATTTGATAAACGACTGTACGTTTTTACAATTATACGTTTTCTATAGAGGGTGTCCCAAAAATGTTGGAGGTTCTTGAAAGGGGTGGTCGATCGCACACGGGCGCAACTGATCAGTTTCAAACCACTCTGAAACTATTGTAGTTGCATGCGATCGTGGATCTAGGTAGAACAAAGATAGCGGAGTAGGTAAAAGAAAGAGCGCAAACGGTTTGCAACACTAAAGGTCGATTCAGACTATACGACACGGACCGTCACGTTCCGGCAACGTCACGTACCGGCACCGACACGACAAAACATTAAAACACGCGTTTTAATGGAACTATTCACACTTAACAGACACCGACCTGAACGTTCCGTCAACGGGAATAGTGTGAATAGTTCCATTAAAACGCGCGTTTCGATGTTTTGTCGTGTCGGTGCCGGTACGTGACGGTTCGTGTCGTTATACTTTGAATCGACCTTAATTTCAAATCACAAATTGCGTGTGCGTTCGGCTTTACAAGCGCGGCTGTCTAGCGCGTACCTAATCTACTGCGGACCCCGACCGCGTAGCCTATTCTACTGCGGCTGTCTAGCACGTACCCTAAGCTACTGCGGCTGTCTAGCGCAGCTTCTTCTACTGAGGCTGTCTAACGCGCAGCCTTCGCTACTGCGTGCGCTCCACCGACATACTTGCGCTCTGATTGGCCGAGGTTTTCTCTTAATATCTCCTTAACAAAGCCCCGGACAACATTCTCGCTAAGGATAAAGTTGTTTCAAATCACCCCCTGAACCACCATTTTCAAGGACCTCTACTATTTGTGGAACATCCTGTAAATCGTGCGTTTGTACTTCACGCGCGTCAGAATCGATTGTTTTTATAGCTATGCGATAGCCACACATGGATCTCAAGAGTACCATTAGTAACACCTGCGATCCACGTGTTTATCTCAGACAGATTAAGTTACCTGAGAGAAATGCCTGTGGAATTTTTTCTGTCTCGCGCTGCTGGTAGTTGTTGGCGACGATGTAGACGACGATCTGCTAACCTTTGCTGAAGTCTGTATGACACCACCAGCTGCCATTGATGGTGTACTTCTACTGAGCGGTTTCGAGAGTTGACTGAAAACAAACGAAATAAACGAAATAAATATTTTCCATTCAAACAAACAAGACAACACGCAACTTATGCCATAAAACAAGTGGAGTTCTATTTGCCCGCCAATGAGTTCCAGATTTCTTAGTCGCTTTTAGAAATAGTTCGATAGTTTAAACATAAGAAATATCCATTTGAATACCTGCGGTAACTTCACATTTCCAGATTATAAACACTGCTAAAGCACCATTAATTGCGATTTACGTGCAAAAAGTCATTGCGATAAGTAACAGAACTCTTCAGTGGACAAATGGAACTTTACTTGTTTTTTTTAATTTCTTTTGCAAATGTTGGACCAAATCCATAGACCCGATCGCGAATGGTTTATATAGAAAAGTTAGGTGGATCGAGCACTTGTGAAAAACACGCCGTGTCTATCTAGTAACGAAGATAGAAAGTACCACCAAAAGATAATACTTTTCTCGACGTTCTCTCAATCACAAAAAATACCCAGTTGTATAGAATCACCGCATCGTTCCTACAAAGCAACAAACTCTTACGCGTCACTGTTCATATTACTCACGTATCGCGTCACGATGAGCATCGCTTTATTTTAAATGATTACATAAAACGTCGCACCTAATAAATCTACTATTCCTCCGAATCTTCGGGCTCCAAACATCGTTGCTCCAGATGTCGTACATGTGTGCGATCATATTTTAACAGGATCACTCGATGAATCCAACACCTCTGCGCTATTATACCGAAAAATACCAGGGTCAACGATCGAAACGTTTTAGTCACCGTGATATTATGATTGTCTATGCCACGATTTCGTACTTGATAAATAGTTAACTATAGTCTTTCCACATTTGCATCTATTATTTCGACGATGATCTGATGGATAAAAATCTCAGAAGCTGAGACTCCAGAGATCCGTGTCCTTGAGTTCCTTCGATATCTTCTAATAGTTCATAATCGACGAGACGAAGCATCGACAATCTTTCATGGAACTAGCGTCAACTCGCCAACAAGTACCAGAGAATTGTTTCGATCGTTAATTGCGGCACGCGCGCGACCCTAGTCGACGTAATGTTAATTAAGGTCGATCGAAGACGAACGAGGATGCAACACGAGTAATTGGATCCGCTGAAAAACATTGCACGGCGTTAACTTCCTTCCATCGATCGCTGATCGAACACCAACGAGAACGGAGCACCGAGGAATCCTTGTGACGATCAGCAGAGGAGGAAGGGTTGTTGCGTCCAAAATGCCGAACTATGTATTCCTCTTGTCACCACAGAAATTAAAACCAAAGTATTGTTCCACTTGCAACGGTAGAACTTATGGTCGATGCACTGTTCCTCTAGGCGACGATAACACTTCCTCTTTACATGGATAGAACTCAGAACAAAGTACTATTTCTCTTGTCACAGACAAAATTAGAACCAAAGATACTATTCCTCCTTGCTGAGAGACGAGCCAAGTCTTTCTATATTTATTTCTCCTTTCTCATAATTTTGTTATATTCACTTTTGTTTTTCATTTGTAACACCATACATTTCTATTTCTATTTTAATGTATACAGTATACACCTGAAGAGGGCTCGTAAGAGATCCCACACGATGTAAAATAGAGATCCTACTCACGTATACTTTTTCTAGAATTCGTCTTGTTCGAAGATATCAACAAGAAAGCAACGTAGCTACTTTTCCTTTATTTTATAAATTTCAACAAAGTCCTTTCTTTAATTTCTTCAAGAGAAATTTCTTCGAGAGAGAAATACAACCTTCTAGGTTTCGGACTTGGATTCGTCTTCAACGAGTAATGGATTAAAAGTCTCTTTTTTCTTCCTTCGTTACTCGAATTTCTCATTTAGATAGAAATTGTACCCATCTCTGGTCTCCGCGATGAGAATGTAGAACAAAAGATTTCTATTAAGTAGAGCAACCAGAGCAGACGAGTTTCCCATCGCAACAAAAGAAAGCTTGGCACCGGTGCATCATCGTGTCGACAATCCCAAAGTGTTTTAGCGCGAAGAACAGGAAACAGGTGAGAACGACTCGACTCGTCCGTTCAACTCTGTCACCTTCCTCAAATCAAAGAAACACTTTTGCACGTTGCACACTCGAAGACAGCAAGAAACTGAGCGTAACGATGCCGATCGCGATCACGGTTCAACTGTCGATCATTCTGCAGCCGCGTCTTGTTGAGACTGAGTGTTTAAGGCGAAATCGCCAATAGTATCAATCAGCTCTCGTCATTGATAATACCTGGCAGAATATCTCGATACTTTCCTACACAGGCAGACTTGCGTACGAGACCTGTCGGAATACGAATCTCGAGATAAAACGACGCTTTATGAAATGTTCCTGGCGACGTGACATTAAGGCGAGAACGGTGTAATGACCAGATAATTGAGGATTCGGTTTGAAATGACATATCTCTGCCGAAATAATCGATAAGGACTGTAATCGTTAAGAGGTCAAATACGATTGACAATGCAAAATACTTCAGACTTTCTTTTCGTTCGGTGATAATTTGGACTTTGTATGAAGCGGTAGCATAATTAATAATGTATTCAGGCATTTTTGTTGACGCGAACAGCTTCACCTTTCAAGAGAAATGAAAACTAAATGTAATACAATTAAAAAATTCCAAGGAAGAAACTTATAAAAATATCACAAAAATTAACAGGCAGGAGTAGAACATGCCTGAGTGAATAAGAAAAAAATGTATTTGTCGGAAAAGTTTAATAAAAGTTTTATTGAAATATATGATACTGAAAGAACATTTTGTTGTTAAGACAATTTTTAGTAAGTTTAACAGAAGAAGAAGAAGTTAAATAGAAAAGAAAGGAATATGTTAAATGTATCGATAATGGTCATTAAGGTATTAATTTCTGAGCTAATGTTTTTTATTACTAAGTGTTGTTATCAATATTTTACATTTACTCGTTTGGAAAGTTACACGGATAATCTCTAATTTATTCGATGTATAACATAATTTTGTTATGTAATTATAAAGCTAGATAAACACACTGTATTTGTTATTGAACAGGTAACGCATGAAATGTTAATCTCCTGTTCATTATACGACATTTTCATTTAGATAAGAATTGTATCCATACTCGTTCGAACAGGTAACGCAAGAAATGTTAATCTCTTGTTCGTTATACGACATTTTTATTTAAATAAGAACTACATATATATGTACCTGCCCAAATTATTTTCGATAAGCGAAATCATAGTTCAGTTAATATGGTGTGCATTTTCTCACAAATTTTTAACATTCAAGAGAAACTCGATAACGGATGCGATAGATTTACAAGGATCTGATCCATTCTTTCCACTTGCAAGATAAGGCTGTCACGATACCATTAATAAAGTCGACCAGCGTTCTATTAATATAACGAATTGGATTTGAAACATTGCAACGATAAACACGCGAGGCTATCAGCAAAGACCGAATTTGATTTTACGATCCACAGAACTTGAACGAAACATTGCCTCAGAGAAAAAAAAACAAGATCGACGTAAAGCTGATTTTATTCCAAGTGTTTATCTCGCAGCTGACGGTGAAATAACGGACATTGCGCAGGTGATACTTGGTTGTGCTCTTCGTTCTTGTTTGAACAAGTGTTCTGTTATCTCGCGATACGTTATCAACTAGCTCGTAGTTTTCAAGCGTTTCATATCAAATTTCCAGCAATTGGTAACACCTGGATGTGGGCTTAACAAATAACAAATAACAAAATAAAACTAAAGTTTAATTAACTCGAAATCAACTTCAAATTCCAAATAATAATTAAATTCGTATTCAAGTAACGTCACAAATAATTTATTTTTTATTTGTGACATCATTTTTTTAGCACTTATTAATAAGTAATAATTATAAACTATAGAATATTATAGCTCGTAATCGTTCAGAAATGGTTGCAATTTAAATGATTTAGGCATCGAGCTAAAAAATACTGCTAGGACTTTATACATTGCAAAGTCGCGTCATTCACGAATATCTTGTTAAGTTACCATTCATCTATTCATTTATTGTATCATAGTGTAAGAGATGCTTTACAACTTTCAATCGTCATCTTCAAACGTCATCTTCAAGAGTCATCTTCAAGCATCATCTGTGATGTCAGTTTTAATGAATAGACTGCGGATGTTCATCCATTTATGACGAATAGAAATATGAGAAAATCTATGAAAACGTGCACAAATGCAAAAATATACAAGATATCAATAATAACATATATGTTATACCGTTTAAAAGATAAGACTTTGAATTGACTCTCAATTCTTTCCTTGCATATGTAAAAGTATCGATTTGGATTAACATCTGCAGTCTAATAACGAAAGTGACATGTTATAAAAAGTCTTAATCGATACGTGCTAACAAACATTTTGTTTGTGTAATCCAGACACTTTAAATGTTGATTACTTCATACTAATCAATACACTCGTCTGATTTCTAAATGCATCGTATACGTAGTGTCTAGACGTTTGTGCAATACCTGAAAAGTTTCTGCTAAGAGAAGGTCAGATGAGTTTGTTGATACGGTTTCTTGGCATTCATACTAATATCGATATAATACTTCATAGTTGCCAGATATCTGCTAGAACTTCAAAGGGCTATATTTCACAGCAAAAATATTTACGAGGTAACATTTATCATAATTTTGTTTACATATAATACCCTTATAATACAACTGTAACATTTCTAGTATCATTTTTATATCATGCGGTATATGGGTATGAAGAGGATAAAAGAAGCAATGGACATAGATTTTTAACAAAATTATTCACTTAAGAAAAAATGATTAGTGATGCAGAACTCACTACAAGAACTGTACAAATAATTGTCAGAGTGAGATACATATAATTAATTAATTTGATATTGTATCTTATATATCACATTGTTATGTGCTTTTTAAGAAAAATTCTAATGACAAAATGGTGTATTGTTGCAACAAATCTATTTTCGAGTCTACTTATCATATTTATTCTTGTGTTCCATACGCTTTGAAAACCTACGACAAGGAAAGGGATGACTGGCTGACGACATTCGCTGGGAAATTTCCAACCACGCTCCCTTATTCATCGCGTTATGCAACCACGTATTACAAATCGCGACCCACAAACGGTCCAACGGGATGATTGTCCTAACCCCATTCGCCAAGGTTATCCGTTGACTCTGAATGATCATCCACATGAAGTCAGTTGGAAAGCAAAGGGGATAAAATTCACCGATTAGCCTGCTGAACTGGGATTCTAAATCGATTCTATCGTTGATCCGAAAATTATAATAAATGCAGTATAAGCTAAATTGTTACAGGACAAATTCTATGTTAGGTAATTTTAAAATTTGGTTAAAATTAATTTTAAAGCGTTTTGTATATTTTTATCAAGTTTATCAAAATTTAAGTCGCTTCTGTAAGACAGATTTTCTTATTATTGTAAATTTCCTTCTTTTTTCGATAACAATAGAAGAATTTTGGATACACCATGTAATGACCGTATAATGGTTGATTGTAAGAAATTTTCAGCAAATTGTTAAAATGAAATACAAATATGGTCTAAACTGCGAATAGCTGAATGATAAATGGCTGATGTGCTACAGTTTAAGTTTAAATCTGCTTAGCATTATTTACATTCAGAGGAGTGGCTTTCAGCCAATTCCCCAACTGTAATATTCGAAGTAGCTCCGTGGTTTAAGAAATTTATAAGATTCCCGGTTTGATACACAAAGTAGTCCTTTCATTCGACTTATCGCTCACTGATTAAATCCTCTGCTTCATAATCCGCAATAAATGTAACCAACACAAATCACACTTACTATGCACAACAACGTATTGCTTTATTAACATGAGCATCAACTTCTTGTGTTATAACTGACTCATGCAACGACTACGTGTCATATCAAATTTATGATTCTTTGATAATTTTCTGGTAAATATCTTATCTTAGAGCGGATTAAATTCTGTAGATATTAGATGATCGTTAAATAATACGTTAAGACAGGAAGTTTGAACGAGTGATTAATAATTATTCTCGTGCATATGAAAACAACAATGCATGTGTCAAAGCGTTTTTAAACAAAGAAAACGTTGACTACGAACATTTCAGAATGCAATCGAAATTTTCCCTGACCAGTAGGATGATTGATCCTGTGATATTTTCAATTTACAACTCAGTCGCCAAATCAGTGTCAACAAGCGAAGACGACGAAAACAAGCTACAGAGAATCGGACAGTTCAAAGTCGTAGATTTAATGAGACATAGGAAACGCGAATATGTTAGGTTGTCCCAAAAGTGTCTTTCGTTTCGCTAGTAAATAACACGTATACAATATTTTTGGTTGAGTTGTGTACAACCTATTTTGTTCGATTGCTGTTATAACTTTCTATAAAATTCTTATAAAATTCTGAAGCTGGACGTCGCAAATTTGTATCATTAGAGCTAAGATAAAAATCACAAAATATGTTTTGAAATATCAATGTTGTAAATATCTAGTGTATAAAATAAAAAGACTTTCATAATTTTGTCATAACCAGGAATAGAAGTTGAAGTGACGTGAGTTCACGTCAGCGGTCACGAATGTGTTGAGATATCTAAAATCTCAAACATACCAAGAATAAACATCCGTAAACATTTGAGGGAAATGCAAATGGTATCAGAGATCGAAGTATGGGTGCCGCACTAATTCAAATTTGAAATAATAATTCCCAAAGAATTTGTGGTTAAAGTATTCGTGCAGCGAAAGCGTACAGGAAACAAACATAGCCTAATCGAAAAGATGAAATATTTCATGATACGCTCCAGTGTACGCAGTCGTTAAACAAATCATGGTGAAGCCAAGTCTGTTGGTCCTGCAAGACCAGCAGGTGGAGCCAGGAATGGTGTCAGATTCGTGGTTGCATCTGTGTCACTAGAGCAAGTAGATACCATAAGCCCGTTGAGCGGATTAATGCCGTCAGGGTTGCTCATTCGGGCAATGGTCAGATCGTGTATTACGTGTCGCCTGGCAGAGGAGAAAATCGACACGAGAAAAATCAACGACTCACCTGTCGTTACATCTCAAGGCCGTATGGCTTGGACTCCTCGGAGGCTGAGAAGTATTGGCTCCAGCCACTGTGAGCTGGGAGCCGCTAATCGACTGCTGGCCAGCTTGCTGCCCACCAGGAACTACTTGAAGAGGCGTGCTGGGCGCCGATCGTGCTCCTATGGACCCCGCAGACCTGGAACAAATGTAATCCATCGATTAGCGCCTCGTTTCCTGCATTTCATCTTGACTCTGTGTCAAAATAACCCCTTCAGTGATAGATTGGCATCAAAGGCAAATCGCTAATCTCTCGAATGCTGTATTTAATTAATTAATTTCAGTAATCAATTAATTATTTGCTTCTTTTAAATATATCATGTCTAGTTAAAGGTACAGGGGACGGATAACGTGACGAGACCCAAGGGTACCTGAAAAATGATATATACAATCTATTCTTTTTTTATCGTGGAGATATCGTTATAAGTACCGTAGTAGTTGAAACAAATAATTGAGTGCCCAGTGTACAAACAGTAAAATGATGGAAAATTAGTATTTGCAATCGTGGATTTCATTAATAAGGTTTTCAGTGCTATACAACATAGTGCTTTAAACGATCCAAATCCAAAATCGAAATGTTTATTTAAAATAAACTATGCTTGCACTATATTTACTGTAATAAATTTGATTGCAGTGGTGTAAATGGTAGCTCGTGATTTTTTGACAGATGTTTCTTCAACGTACCTAGCCCTGGTGACTGGGCTCGAAGAGAAGCAAACATTGATCAAGGCTCGTGTCTCGAACTCCATCTTTTTATTCTTCGCTTCAACCGATTAACTCAAAGACAAGTAGCTCTGAGAGACGATTCCTTACAGCTCGTAGAATTTCAGTGTCAGGAACGATTTTCCAACGTCCCGAAAATCGAATTGAACTGAGATTCGCCTACGTATGCTGAGCAGACGTCGAGCTGCGGACAAGTATAGCTTGCTAGACACCGTTTCTCGATCAAAGAAGCGAAGAACCTAAAGTATAGTGCAGTGATTCACTCTGAATTGTATGTTTGCCGAAAATTCGTGGATTCTTTGACGAAGTAGCAAATGCGCGAACCTAAGGTTCGATTAGGTGTGTTCCCTTTGCAGAGAATCGAAGAAATTGAGTAATTATGCTTGAATCGTTTGCTTGATCTGTTACTAAAGAAACGAAAGCTGACAAAGCTGTGTCTTTATCAGAAAAAAGAAAATCTGTTATCTTGGTTCACCGTAGCCAACGTGTTAAATTCAACACTGTACAGTATAACGTGACGTATATCACACTTATAATCCCACGCTGATGGCCAGAGAACAAAAAGAAAGACAATTTTTGTTTCAGCGATTAACCACTGAAACAACTATTTTTCCTTTCCTTTTATCGCGGAGTATTATCCGCGTTTCTTGTTTCGAGAATGGCCACAAATCCACGGCGAGAAAACGTTCAACTATAATAAATGAGTCGAGCAAGTATCGAAGAATCAATTGAACTGTCGTCCACGAAGAAGATGTAGACGCGAGAAGGAAATCAAGAAGAAACACGAATTCGATGAAGAAAAATGAGACGGGCCCTTCGAAATCAGCTAAAGCGTTGCGTCGTCGTCCAGCGACGATAATAAACGGGGCTCTGTGACTGGCGGAACTTTACAACTGAAATTTATCGCCGAGCCGAAAGGAATTAGTAGAAACCGCGCGGGTATCGATGTTTTTTCAATATCACTCTCGCCGAGGATCGCACCTTCGCCCCGAAGGAGCTTAATGCTAACCGAGCGATAAAAAGGATGCTCATCTCTGACGAACCAGGCTAGCCCCGAGATGAGTTTTTAATCCGTGATCACTGTTCGAACAGCGATCCGAATCGTCGATTAGGTCGTTGAGTGACAAAGAGCTGAGGTCGAAGAGGAATCTGAAGTGCAAACGCGTCGTGCCGTACACGCGCGTCCTCCACGGACCAGCCGGGATATCAGACTGACGATTCGAACCTGTGGACACCCCGTCGAACCCAACGTTGCCCTTTCGACCTTCTTCAATAATGAACAAAACGTATCGCGACTTGACGCAATTATCTATACCCCGGTGTCTAGAGAAACGCGCTCGCCTCGATCGATTCTGGTCTACGAAGAGTAAAGACCAAGTGGTAAAAGAATATAGCCGAGCCGGAAGTAGGGGTTTAGAGCTGTACGTTATGGACTGAAGGCTATTCTGGTGAACGCTATACTTGAGATTGTGGTCGTGGGACGTGGATCTGATCGCCTAGAGCGATATAGGTGGCTCGACGAATCTAGAAGAAATATAGACACGTGTACGAGGATTTGTGACAGTGTTCTTCGAGCTAGGGTTCGCGATCTCTAATCAGCTGACGCCTTGCAGTCTACGATAGCTGAGAAAGGAATTTTTTAGCGGAATATCGTTTCTTCGCAGTGATAGTAGTATTATTATAAAACGGATTATTCTTATGTGACGGGCATTTATAAATTTATGTTTCTAAAGAATGATTTCTTGAAATATATCCAGCTATATCATTGAAATTTTTAACTGCGGTAGCTCAAGAAGCAACAAATTTATTGAAATCTGTTTTAAATTCTTCTAACAAGTTTAACCCTTTCAGACCTGAATTATTTTGTTTCTCGTACTAATGTAATTTAATTTTTGGGGTTAACTTGGACTGAAATTGATATGAACAAAATAAAAACAAGAAATCCTAATAGCGTAGTTTTCGAGGAAAACTGGTCTTTCTTCATGTCCACAAATAAGGCGTCCTGAACGATAGGGTTAGGTTTCGAAAGGGTTAATCGCGGAAAACTTGAACGATTTGGACTCGCTCGTTGGATTTGCTCGTTCAAGTGCACCAAACCCAGATACTCAATGCACAGATTAACGTTCAGTGGTCATTCTGGAAAATTGTGCTTCTGTTCAGGGCTATTGACGACCATCGCTGCTTGGCGAAGCATGGAACATTTCTCTGTGCTGATAGATATTTTCTTCACGTGGAACTAGAATTTGCGAATGCTATTTCGCGCTCAGCCCACCCCAGGAAAGAGAGGAAACATCTTTCTATTAACCGGTTGGCCATTTCGTGGAAAATATGTAGATGCAACTCCGAATCGGATTGCCTGGCACGGATCCAAAAGGTCGACCGTTCCTCTCGTGCTGCGCATCAATAAGAGGCAAAGCTGTGTTTAAAGAGGACGTGAATTGTACGCCACGATCGCCTAAAAGCGACGGATAATAAAGAAGACGGAATACCGCCGGCGCTTCTGTGCTTCGTTCCCAATTGGACATACGTATATACGTCATTTACCATAAACGTGAGAGCAATATGAATGTCCCAATGAACCGCGAAAAAAAGAGACGTAACTGCGGAGCGACTGCGGAAGTAATTGGAATTGTTAGAGCCAGTGACGCACAACCTTTTTTTCTTACCGGACCAAATGAAATAAAATACAGTAGAATTCGGATAATACACCAACTATCAACTATCAATTGTTAATTTTTAATTTACGATTGCCAATTCAGCCGATAATCCCGAGTTTCCGATGAAGTTTGTCATACTTTTCCCTGATTTAGACATTTCATTCATATGATTACGATATTTAAAGTTTTGCTTATATTTTAATTGTTAATATGCAATTCTGGTATAAACCTCACAAAAATTAAAATGAAATGTTCAACTATGTTTAACTGAATCATTTATTTTTGTTATCAATCACTTTTTAGTACATCGTCATAGCTGGTACTTCATAACTAATTAAATAATCTTATACAAAGTAATTTGAAATGAGTGAGAAAAACATAAGTTAATGACTAGTATTAACTAGAAGAAACTAATCTTTTAATATTTCCTAGATAAAATTATTGAAGATTTCTAAATTCATCGCGAATAACTTAAATCTCAACTATATTATAACAAGAAAAGTAACAAACTCTTTTCTCTCTTGAAACAAATTTTATATCTTGTGGATAAGATACAATAAAAAAATCGTATTGCTACCGGAGTAGATTACTCGTACATAATCTGCACAATAAAAACGATATCCTTGATCTCGAACGAATCGCACGTCGTAAATTTTAGGTGCACCAGCGACGAATTAATCGTTAATTAATTCCCGCATAATGCAACGTAAAACGCATATACGCAATTGAAAACTATCGGTCGTTATCTTATATCACGTGAAGGTCATTGTGCAAAATGCAAAACTTCTGGCTTGTCCTTAGAATGCCAATAAAATAATCCCCACCGTCGTAACGTTTACCGTGCATTATTCAAATGCAGCAGGTGTACATCATTGCGAATGCCTCTCAAAGGTCATAAAGTAGAGATACAACGGTAAGACAGTAGTAATTATCTGGTACACAATTTGAAACATCGATAAACGCAGAGGTCTATTACGCAGTGATGCAAATGATATTTGTTGCAGTTTTTCCTTAATGATGTTATAAACATGTTAATATATATATATAAGAATTGATACGACTCATAGAAAATAATTGTGACCTTGTTATTATGCTTTGATAAATTTGTCAATAATTTTTATTCGCTTATATAATGCTGTGTATGGAAATTTATTATATTTATCTCAAGAGCGAAAGAAGCAAATATGCATTAGAATAATCGATGGTGATTACAAAAAAACGTTTGGAAATTTATTTACGACGTTTATTCAATTGAATGGATACGTGGATAAATTCTCTCGTATTATACTACATTTTCAATGCCAATATTTATTCAATCAGTCATCAATAAAAAGTTGTTTATCTTTTGTTTGTTATTTGGGTTTTATATAGTTACGAATATTTCTTATCTCTGAAGCGAAGATATACATAGATACAGAAACACCTTGCTTTAGAATCTAGAGACTCATACATTTTAATCGATTAGTTTTATAAATACTACCTCTCATGAGTGCACCAAATATTATTTTCAATGGCGCTACAAAATTAAGGGGAAGAAAAGTTTGAAGTATTTATTTATAGTGTACATTAAAAATGGTGTAAACCTAAACAGAACAGCATGGTTTAAATAAAAAGAAATATAAAATACAAAGGATATGATAGTTGAACTCATAATTGTTAAAAAAAAATGACAACTCACAGTAATCGGATATATGTCCTCACTCGAAGAAAAAATGTCTTTTTTACCTTCGAAAGGGGATACTGGAACATAATAGATTAA